AGAGGATGAGTGGATAAAATATTGCCACGAGATTCAGCATAGTCGATAATCTATGTTTTCATTCATTTCTGACAGTTCCAAACTTAACGGTTTCAGGGATAGCTCCCGAACCAGGGATTTTCAAGATATCGCTTAGATCTTGTTTTGTAGAAGTTCGGACTGTAGACTCGTCGAAAAAAATCAGCATATTTCTATGCCAGTTCGGGGAGCTACGATCTGGTTTTCCAAAGATCCTTCGAAAATCCGGTCGTTGAAATTTTTTCAAAAATTATTTTTGCTTGTGCAAAGATGCATACAAGTGTTGACTATCGAATATCGAAAATCGCAGGTCTCTACCTTATTCCTGCCAAAAGTTATTCAAAAACTAACCGACTACCTTGTATTTTAAAATCGATAGTAGAAGTTTATTATATACAGAAAGACAGAAGGAAAGAGAGATTTGAGAATATTCTAAGAAAAATATTTCGTCTCATAGTCAGATTGAAGATCTAGAAACGATGGAGGTTATTTAAAAATTGTTCTTGCAAAATGAATTAGTGAAAATGAAATATTTACAAAAATGGTTCAAATCAGTTTTTGATGTGGCTCAGTCTCAAAAAAGTGTTGATCCACTCATTTCTATCATAGTCCATTTTTGCGAACTGAAATATTATCATGAAATACAATACTTAAATAACCCCTATCATTTGACAAAAAAGAGACAAATTGATAATATCTGCCAGCAATTTTATTATGTATGTTGTACCTATGAGCACTTGCATACACAGAATATTAAATAAATTCTTTTACTTAGAATGCGCCATCAATCATTAATATTTTAAGAACAACTGTGCAATATTGCCATATTTACAACACTTGTTGATTCCAGCTGCTTGATCAAATGTATTCATAATATTTCGATACACACTGAATGTATTTTCTTCGATACTGAAAATAAATCAGAAATGAAAAAAGAAAATGTTTCATTCTGTATGAAGAGGGTGATGAAACAAAAGTATTGATGGCAAATAAAAGGTTATTCACGAAAAGCATGTTTATTTCTTTATTTATCAGGTAAAGTATAGATACTGAATCAGTCTGTGAATAATAATGAGTGAATGTAAGCGTGCTGTACTATTTTCTTTCTGAGGATTTTCAATAAATCATTTTGAAGAAAAACTCATCTTTAGTATACTTAGATCGATTATTTTAATATATCGATGATACAATATGATACATTCTTTGGCAATTATTTTTAGAGAACGACATCTCTCATATAAGAAATCTTCTAATTCTTATTTTCATAGTTTATGTTATAATTAGTCAGCCTCTGATTACATCATTAACTATTTCTATTAAACATTGTATAGTAGCAGTAAAACTTTCTTACTATTATGTCACATGTTACTTAATCATGCATATCGATCATAATAATCAAAGACATAAAAAAAATAGATATTTTTTGGTGAGCAGTTGGGCTACATCAAAAAAATTATTTTAAGATATTTTAAGAGCAAGTATTGTATTATTCATTCTCATAGATCCACTTTTGACACTAACTATATCATTTTTAGGCTTTAATAATAAATTATGAAAGAAATTGCTAATTCATCGCTCAATGAGCCCCGTGCTACTAGTTACAGTTCTATTATTAGTCCACAAGAGCGTACAGCCGAATCTAATCCAGTACAACCAGTTCATATATCAACGTGGCATATATTCAAACGTCATTTACCCAATCTTATTCTAACAATTATTGTAGATGTTATACTTCCTATCGTTTTCTATTTTGTACTTCAAATTTATATTGCACCTGTTTATGCCATATCGATTGCAGCAAGTCCTCCACTTATAATGATGATTATCAAATGTATGTGGTCTCATACATTCGATGCCATCGGTTTTATTGTAGTCACTGCACTTACAATTTCAGCTATTGTGACTATTGCCATCGATAATCCTCGTATTATGATTATTGAAAAACCGTGTACAGGTGTTGTGTTATTACTTGCCTTTATTATATCTCTCATTCCTATTAGAGTGAGAAATTTCAAATTAAAACCGATTATATTTTATTTTTATGTTGAATTATTACCAATGGAAAAAATTCAAATTGAAACAGATGATGTTGATGATGGAAATAATTTTGATTATAAAGAGTTAACAGAAGATGATGCCCTACCAATTAAAACAGAAAGGTATATTTCTGAAGTATACGAATGGATTTATGAGCATTGTCCAAATTTTCGTTTATGTTGCTATCAACTAACAATTTTGTGGTGTATCAATTTTTCGATAGAAGTTGTTGGAGGTTTTCTTATTTATTTTTCAAATTTAAATTTGAATGCAGCTGTTATATACGCTAATTTAGTTGTACAAGGATCTAGAATATGTTTTGCTATTATTACAATTATTTTTGTTATTCGTGAGAGACGAGAAACGTTAAGAAAAATCACACGCTAGATATATTATAGATATATATTTAATCCTTTATTAAGTCAGGGGGTTGTAGTCATAATAAAATGTTTACAATGATATTTGTTGTTGTTTGAGAATGTCTAGAAAAATACTCTCAAACTTTTTCTTTTCATAGAGCTAAATTTTTAAGATTTTTATGATTAAATATTCACCTAATAAGTGGCTTGAATTATGACTATATATTTCTTTCGTTCGCAATACCATTCAAGTGTACGGTATCACTTATCAAAATGTATACAATGATTGTAGAAGTCTTATTTTTTATCCAGTAAATGTATTTATTATTTACTTTCCTTCGCATATATTTATTATTATATTTTGATAAACGTTTTTCTGTACTGTAAGGTACTTTACGCAATAGCTATTTGAAAAGAAAGAAAATGTACAAATTTAAAATTAAAGTTTGATATGATACATGTAATAGAATATAAAACAACTAAAATGGTGGAAGAGAAATAGAGCACTGTGCAAATTTCATGTCATGTGATAATTTTTTCTCAAGTGTCGCCTTAAATTATATGTTTTTTATGTTGTTTTCATGACTGCATGATTACTATCTTTGATTATCATCTCCCGTTATTTATCAAACTAATATGTTCTGATTTTTCTTTTATTCACTTATGAATAGTTGGATTCGATTGGCTAGAAATGTGCATTCTGTTGTTGTATAACTGATTTATCAGTGAGTATATTGATTCTAATTTCTTTCTAACAAAAACATTTTGTTGGTGATCAGAGATTTATCCTGTCATTAAAATACTTTTGTCTTTAATACATAAACTGTAATGTTTAACTATTTGGGGTTTGTGTTGTCGTTCTTTTAACACGATTTATGCACTGTTTTATCCGTCTATCGAATATTTCATTTTCTCTTATATAGCAGAGCTCCGTATGGTCCAGTCTAGTCTCAATTTTTGGGACCTCACCATAACTTTTTGAAATCCGGACCGCTTCGGACCATTTCTGATAAAAAAATTCGGGGTTCGGACCACTTCGGACCATGAAAATGTTTTCCTCCTTTTTAAAGATCCATTTCAGTTGTGTAACGAAAAACTGTTTTAATCTCAATTTTTATCGAACCTGAAAGCAAACTGTTTCTTAATTAAATGTTCAGCAAAGCTGGACCGTATGCTGAATTTTGATTTTCAAACAGTGCAATCGATAGCCCGAACCGAGATCTACAATTCTAGACCAGTCTTAACTCTCTATCTATTAGGAATCTCTATCTATTCAGAAGCTATATGCATTTTCCGAGAGCCCCGATTTCGGCCAGTTGATCTTGGGTGATCCTAAGATGGGTTCAGATAGGGGTAATCGGCCACGCTGAGTCGAGTGGTGATATTTATTTTTAGTCTCAGACTAATCTAAAATCACTATATCAAGATTTTGAAAATTAAAGCATTCTACCGCTGTATTGCGTATAGAGCGGATATTTCGAAACTCTTGATGTAGTGATTTTAGATTGGTCTGAAACTAAAAATAAACATCACCACTCGACTCAGCGTGGCCGATTACCCCTATCTTGACCTATCTTAGGATCACCCAAGGTCAACTG